GGGGGGTAATTTACGTCTTGTGTGGTATTACATTAAATTCTGTACTCAGTTGTACGTGATTTGCGATTTGTATGGTTGGATGGATGGATTAATGGTTGAATTGATTCGGCGTGCATGACTTTGTGGTTATACTCAGAGGTCGATTAGTAAATATTTTGAGCATGAGAGAGACTAGAAAGAGAAAAAGAAAGGGATACACATAAAAAGAACTCATAGTTTTTGTGTTTGCTCGGTTTGGGGGTTTTTTTTACATAACTTTTTCGTGTTTCTATATAAGACGAGTTTAGTCGCATGAAATCACTGCACTGAGTGTAAGAGAAAGAGGAGGAAGAGGTAAAATAAAACCGTTGTAATATGAAAGAGGGACATAAAATGATGGAAAAGACAGACAGACAGACAGACAGACAGACAGACAGACAGACAGACAGACAGACAGACAGACAGACAGACAGACTGAAACATCGTGAGAGAGATAACAGAGAGAGACAAACAGACAAGCGGAATGACAGACACACACGCACAGCAACAGACACGCACAAACAGAGGTGCAAACATATAGACAGACATACATAGTTTACATACACTTACAGAGAGAGAGAGAGAGAGAGAGCGAGAGAGAGGGGGAGAGAGAGGGAGAGAGAAAGAAAGAGAAAGAGACAGAGACAGACCTATACAGAAACAAACATACATGTACATAGTATACATACACATACAGAGAGAGAGAGAGAGGGGGGGGGGAATAGACAGACAGACCTATACAGAGACAAACAGATAAAAAAAACACAGGAAGAGACAGAGACGGAAAGAGACAGAGACAGAAACAAACACAGAGATAATAATGGAGATGTGTTTTGTGTGCGGAATGTTACAGAACGTTACAGCACGCGACGTGTGTAATGTGTAATGAGATAAGGCCGTGCTTCTGTATCTGTAGAGAAAAATTAGGGTGGAGGAAAAAGAGTGAGGAATAAGAAAGGAAAAGGATCCCAGGGATAAACAGACGCGATAGAAAGAGAAAGAAACAAAAAGAAAGAAGGAAAGAACAGAAGGTTCAAACATTACAGTGGGGGGGGGGGG